AATAAACAACTCATTTAGAACATTTATATTATTTTTTTAACTATGTATAGGCCTACTATTAATATGGTTTTAATAAAATATGATGTGTTATAGATTACTAGTATCAAGACAAATGATTATAATGGGAAATATACTTAATTACAAAAATTAAAGTGTGACAAACTGCTAAATATTCTTTTTTTTTGGTCTACAAAGTGTGCCAACAACAGCAAATTTTGTGTTATTTAAATTAGATCTGATCGAGAACAATCATTTGACTAGACATTCTCATTTTAAAAACGTGGATATTTTGTTGTTATTTTAGAAGACAGAGAGCAAATCATTACCACCTGTTAATGCAACGACATTGGGAACTGTGGTCTCCACTCCAGAGAGCGGGCACAGATCGTGAGTGATGCTGCGGAGCGGGCGGGATAACACAGAGCGGATTAGCGGAATCGGCGGATCTTTAGCGGAGCGGGAACAGACCGCTTGAGCTGGGGTGATGGGGGGATTGGTGAGAGGGGCAACTCAGCCGATGAGGGCAAAGGGGCAGTGGCTCTAGCCACCGGGCCACCCCCCTGTGCACGGCCCTGGTAGTAGGTCATCTGGGTACTAGTAGAGAAGTAGATATATTTTGGAAGCAGGTATTGTCAAGCGTTGTCTTTGGAAACTGTTGATTTGTGTCTGTGGTGCTTGACCATCCTTCTTTTGCTTCCTGTCTGCTTAAATAAATGAACTAATTTCACGGTCTGACCGTTCATATAAGCCTTTTGAATAGCTGAAAGAATATCACTTATACGTAGTTTGGATCTGTTTCAGTAGAGTGAAATGGAGCGATTATTTTCCAAATGTTAACTGTAAACTCCTGAAGTTTTTTGGAGCTTAAATCAAAAAGAGGCAGACTAATTAAGTCCAATAAACCTGAAAGCCAAAAATGTAACAAATGTAATTGTGATTTACAGATGTAGTCTTTTTACTACTAATTAGATAGATGTTCCATTAACTGGGTTTTGCCCATTTTATGAACAACATTAACTCCGCAGCCTGTCTCTTGAGCAAACTGCTCCCTCTTATCTCGTTTTTCTTTGCCCTGCCTCCAGTAATCTCTTTCTCTTCTTCCATCTCCAGGATCATTGCTTCTATCACGGGAGGGTCAGAGGTCATGCTGAATCTTGGGTCGCTCTGAGCACATGTTTGGGAATGAGGTATGTCATGTCTTGTGTAATTGGATTCTCTTCAGACACAATACGCTCATTTCATTCGGTCACATGTCTTAGCAAGGCTAAATGCCACGCAGCTTAGTGTGATAAGGATGTACACTGCTTGATTGTATGAGCACCCTGTGGGTATTATATTGTATGACTGTTTTTGCTTTTTTCAGTTAGTTGTGTGAATAAGATGTTGTGAGCGAGTATTTGTTTATGGGTTTGCATGGATGTATGAAAGTACAAAATGTTCCATAGAGAGAAAGTAAATCTAGATGATACTCTTCATTTGTGCTTGCAAAAAGTCGGCCAACTATAATTTTGCATATGCAGCACAATTCTGTGCTTAATTTGTGAAGAGGAGAAATGTTTTGGCCAGGTTGTTGAATATAAGCACTGATGACTAATGCTGTGGCCCTACCAGAATGTTAATAGTTTGTTGTGCTCAGTCCTCGTTCAGCACTGAAAGCTTTCTCTCTACTTATAAACAATATCCGCAAACAACCTTGAAACTGCATCTGCCCTGCCTGTTGCTGCTGAATTTAAAGCTAATGCCTAAAGATACAAACCAAAGTTCTGTGTCTTTGAAATATACACAAGCGAATGTTTTATAAGTTTATAAGAATGTTTTATAAGTTTAAGGTTTGTCATGGTATTAAATAAAGGATTATTTTTATTTTACTACACATTTATGTTACTGGAGGGCTTTGACAGTGAGTCATAGGTAAGATAATATGTTTAATATAGTATTCTTTATTATGGTTATGTCATGAATAGTCATTGCTACATTATATAACCATTAGTTTTTGAACTTTAGTTAATGTACATTCAATACACACTTCATATAGACCTGTCAAAAGTCTGAGGTCAGTAAGATCTTTTTTCCCCCAAAGAAATTTAAGTTAATATTTTTATTCAGCAAGGACATGGTGAAGACATTTATAATGTTATTTTTAAAAAGTGTTAAAAAAAAAGAGTGTTCATTTGAACTTTCTGTTCATCAAAGAATCATGAAAACTGAGTTTTGCTATCACAGGAAAAAATATAATACAATAAATTGTGATGATATTACTGTTTTTACTGTATTTTTGATATAATAAATACAGCATTGGTGAGCAAAAGAGAATTCTTTCAAATCATTACAAAATCTTACAGAGCCCAAACTATTGAATGGTAGTGTATATCCATTTTTGATTGTACATGAACTACTGATCATCAGATAATATGTTTTTTTTGTGATAATGAAAGTTATGAAGTAGTATCAGGGAAGAGGCTGCAGAGAAAAAAAAGAAAACAGTTAAAAACATTTAAAAACAGTTTAAATAATTTGAAATACCAAAGATGTGTTGGCTACATAATTGGTTAAATGTGCCTAGATGATAAATGAAGCTGTCATTTACTCTGGAAAGTTGTGTAAAATCGGAGAGCAGCAGACAGGATAGTTGTGGGATGAATCAACATTCCCTAAAGTGTGTTTGCTTTCATTGCTGATCATTCAGTGCACAAATGTACTCTCTGAGAGCAGTCATTTTTTTTAAATACAGAGTTTATTTTGAGTTGATTAGCCAGTTATATGAAAATAACAGTGTTTTTAAGGGCAAAGCCCTGGAGAGTCTGTCTCTAGATATTGCCAAAGGTCTTGAATTTCTTATGAAGACAGATCAAGTCATTGAACAGCTGTTGCAAGATTTTGCAAGAGCAAACGTAATTAGAACTGTATGTTTTCATGTGGCGTTTCTCAAGGCGACTTTTGTGTTTCCTTACCCTCAGCTCAATGGAGGTCATGTGCTGATGTCTGACATAGTCTACAGTTAATAGAGGCATCAGTCCATTTACAAATTTGACAATAATGTAGTTGATTGTTTTATTATTCTTATTAAATATTTATTTTATTATTTATTATTTCAAAAATATCATTACATTTATGCCAAGGCAAATCAAATCACGGCCATATTTGCAGTTTTGGTGTCAGGAACTATTATAAAGCCATACCTTGAGTCATTTCTGCTTGCCTGTTGTCAACTTGGGGAAAATGACAATCCTCATTTTGAAGATAATAATTGGATGCCCTGGGGCGTAAACAAATGGTTTTGTTATTATAATACATAACATTTTTAAATATATAACCAAATATATAACACTATAAAAGTCTTTATTGTCACATTTGATCAATTATTGTGTCCTTGATGAATAAAAGTATTGATTTCATTCAAATAAATAAATAAAAATCGCACTAACCCCAAACCTTTGAGTGGTAGTATACACAAGTAAATCAAACTCTAAAGCAGAGGTCTTCAACCCTGCTCCTGGGGACCCACTGTCCTGCGAAGTTTATTTCCAACCTGCATCAGCACACCTGTGTATTTTCAAGCAGTCTCGAGGAGCTTGATTAGCTGCTTTAGGTGTGTATTATTAGGGTTGTTGCTAAAATCTGCAAGACAGTGGGTCCCCAGGAACAGGGTTGAAGACCTCTGCTCTAAAGACCTTGTCCCAAATTTAGCCCCAAGTCCTTGCCATAGTGCTGCATAGACTGTTGATTAGAGGTCCACTGTGGAACTCACATCATTGCAGACTCGACAAAAAAAAAATGCATATTGAGGACACATCGTAGGCACAAAGGGGGCGACTCGAGAACACCAATCTGAAATCTGAAATGGCAAATGGGTCACCCTGCCGTCTCATGGACTTTATTTTTAATATATTTTTCAAATGTACTGATTGAAAACTTTTTACAGAGGTCAAATTTAGAGTGTGCTGTAGAGGTGCTCTGGGAGATCTCAAATCTAGCAGCATTTCAGCGGCCCTTCTGATCCCTCTGATTAGTTAATGCATATCTACTTAATGCTGTTAACTATACTGAGGCTAAAAGAAGGATCACGAGGCATTAAAATTCTACTCTGTGTGTCTATATATATGTTTGTGAGATAAAGATCAAATGAAAATGAACTCATAGATATGCACATCTCTTTTATTGGTATTCTTAAATAGTACTAGTAAAAAACACCCTTACCGGAATAGTTCACCAAGAATTCTGCCATCATTTACTCAACTTCATGTTGTTCCAAACCCGTATGACTCTCTGGGTTTTTTGCCCCATACAATGAAAGTCAATGGGGTCCAATGTTATTTGGGGTCCAAAATATCTTTATTTATTAAGAAATAAAATCATACAGGTTTGGAACCACATGAGGGTGAGTAAATGATTGACAATTGACACAAGTTTAACAAGAGAGCATTTGAGCTGACATTACTCCCATTTCCTTCTGCAGAGGTTTGATTGTCTTGAACTCAAATGATACATACTACCTGGAGCCAATCAGAGGCCAGGAGGTTCTCCACCACACTTTCTATCGCACTGAAGACCTGCCGATCAAAACTGGCACCTGTGGACACAGCCATCAGACTGGACACATCAGCCTGTTCAGTGGCCACCTTAAACCTTTGCATCAAAGAGTCAGTCAGAAATGAAATTTTCATTTATGGTGTCTTCCATGTCATCATTTAATATCTCATAAAATGAAGAGACTTGGTAATAAATGTTGATTTTTACAGTATATTTCACTGAAATAGATGTCATGCAAAAAGTCTATTTAATCAGTCCTTTCCACAGATGACAAAAAATCTCATTTTGTAAAGCAGCTCTCACTAGATTGTAAGCATAATAGTCATTAGGGAAATAACAGTCAGTCATTACCATCATTATTCAGTGTGTCTAAGTCTCTATTTCTGATCACATAAGTAGATTCTGTATGATGTCAGAAGAAATTTCTCTCTCACAAAAGCAAAGATGTTCTGTTCCCTCCAATCTATAATGACTAGATAGGCCACTTACAAAAAAAAAGATTATGGAGGTCTGACGCAAAGCTGTTGTGTTGCATTGTGCGTCAGTAATTTCGTTTGTCCCCATAATGTGCTGCAGAAAGAAAAGTGTGTTTTGGCTCATTACAGTACAGAAATAAAGCCATCTTAAACCCAGGTTAAACTGATGAAGTGCATAATGTGGACTTATTACAAAACTCTTGAGGATCATTAGCAGGAGTTGGGAGCCCTCCTACTGCTATTGTTCTGCTTGCACTTGCTTTCTCATTAAAGCCGAGCAGTAGAGACTTCTAACTGGTCTGCTGTTTACAAATGAGAATTAGAGGGTCCATAAATTAATAAACAGTTTGGACTAATGTGCTTCCTCCTTGGTAATGATGTATTCCTGGTACAATTGGATTACAAAGTTCCTGAATTTTGAGGTTCATATATACTGTAGTACAGTATGTCCCTGTGTACCTTTGAGTCTTTAAATATCCCAGATTCATTCAATTTCCAACTATCCCTATAGCTAGTAGGCATACAAACGAGTTCCTTACGAGACTCATTTTGGAATGCGGAGCTTTCATTTTTATTGCTTATGAACATTTATCAAGTCGCACTTTTATTTTCCTCTGGTTGCCAAGGAAGATGACTTATATGAACATTCTGTTCTTCTGCTTATTTTACTGTTTCACTCACATTTTATTTACTGCTTGGTTACTGTAAAGTGCTAGCTGTCACTTTTGTGATTACTGTGCCAAAGCAGTTTTTCGCGTAAATTAGACCCATCAGTTAAAATGCAAACAAATATGAAGAACAGTAGTGATGGCAAGCAGTGAAAAATAAAAACATTGCTACAATATTGTTGTATACAGTCTTTGAGCTTTTGTAGTCAGTTTGTAAAAAAAAAATTATGTGCACAAACAATTATTTTATAGTAAATTCAATATGTGTGATTTAATACAATTGCCCAAAGAGAAAGGAAAACTTGAAATGGCATCATATGACCCCTTTAATTACTTAAGTTGTTGCAGACAGACATTTATTAAATGGATGTAAAACCAAGCACCAAGAGACTAGAGAAACCAATCCATAAACCCTTCCCTCCAGCAATTAACGTTTCATTTTGTTTGCCGTTTGTTTGTTTCCGTATTTATCCCCACCCCTAGGTTAGACGAAATGCCTGGGGTACTACAAAATACATGGAACTCTATATAGTAGCTGACAACACACTGGTAAGCTGATGATGCCTGTGTCATGCTCACTTCCACTAATTAGACACTTCCACACAGTAAAGTTCGCCACAGGAATTAAGGCTTTAAAGCTTCAAATACAGGCTGAGTTATATAAACTGTACTTTAGAACTGGTACTTTATGCCTAGTGTTACATTCTCATTCAAATTTGGCCTCTGAGCAATTGCTGCTTAAATTTAAAGCTTCGGAAGTGCCTTTTCACTCTCTCCCTCTCTTTTCTATCACTCCCATTGCCAATATCTTACATGTATGAGGAGCTATCAAGAAGTTATCAGTGAATTTAATAGTTAAATTTTTAGTCCTCGTGTATGAGGGATACATTTCATGAGGGGCATGCAGACAATCTTTCAGTGTTACATTCTGTTGAGTTTTCTGATTGAATTCTTTCATACATATACATTGAATCTGTATAATATCCACCAAAAGCCAAAAGAGGCAGGAGGTTATATAATATTTCATTATGGCTGGATTTAGTTAATCAAATTTCTCTGTAACAGGGTTTTTGCAATTTCTCAAGCAGAGTCTATGCATTTGTATGTTCGTCTTGATCAATTTGCCTCTTGGCATTTCTTCATGTCTCTACAGTACAGAAAGCAAAACAAGGACCTTTACAAAACTAAAATGAGGATAATGGAAATTGCTAATTATGTAGATAAGGTATGTCAAGCCTGAGTGCATTTCTTTGGTTCAAAGGTTTTGTTTACTGTTTAGACTGCATATTTGTTCTCGGAATGCGAAATTCCTAGATGTCTGTATTATAATTATATTTAACAAACATTAAATCCTTGTGCCATGTTCCTAATTGTTTGTTTTGGTCTGATCAGTTCTACAGAGACTTGAACATCCGTGTACCTCTGATTGGTCTAGAGGTTTGGACTGAACATGATCAGTGCATCATCAATGAGGAGCCAAATTCAACTCTTTGGTCCTTCCTTCAGTGGAGACAGAAACTTAAATCCCGCAAGAAACATGACAATGCCCAACTACTCACGTTAGTCACAAAACACACCAACTGTATGCACATATAGAACAATACTGTCAGAGTAGCTTTATTGTCATTTCAGCTCTATACAGTTAGTATACAGTGAAACGAAACAGCGTTTCACTGTAACATATTTTAATGGTGTTGTATTAAGTTTTTAAAAATATAATTAGTCCGTTTTTTTCTGATATTTTTGTACGGTATATTTCACATAAAAACTGAAATTCTTTCATATGTACTCACCCTCTAGTCATTCCAAACCTGTATGAAAAAAAATGACATGAGGGTGAGTAAATGATGAAAGAAATTTCAATTTGGTTGACCTATCCCTTTAAAGGGATATACATTTTTATTGAAATCATAGCTGAAAGTTTATATTGTTTTCCCTGCAGTGGTGTGATTTTCAAGGGCACCACCATTGGCATGGCTCCGCTGGAGGGCATGTGCAGTCATGAGAACTCAGGAGGCATCAATGTGGTAAGAAAGCATGCAGGCTTGCATCTAGAACAGGCTGTAAACACTGTGTATATAGTGTGTGTGTTTGTGTACAGCTCATGCAGGGATTTGATAAAGTGATCAATAGCTCCGACACACCTGATTAGCCTCTTATTGGTTCTATTACTTTGTGTGGTGGGCGAGGATCACTTTGCAGAATACTAATGAGTGGTCAAGCTTTTCGTCTGGATATTACACATGGATGGGGTCATTCTACATTACATCAATAATGTATGTTATGTATGTATGCTTAGTCTATAGCCTGCTTAATTGTGTCATTTTGTTCAGGTGTGTGTAGTTAATTATCCTTGTTTGGCCAGTGTATTCAAGTTCCTGTGTGTTCAGTTCTAGTTTATCCGGTCTCGTCAGCATCTGCGTTTGTGCTACCCTGTGTGTTGGATTACCCTTGTTGGATTACCAGTGTGTTGGATTAAAGACTTGATAAACCTTCTTCTTCGTCTTCATGCGTTTGTTAGCAGCACAGCTGTGACAGAAGACCGGACCCTCAAAAATGAAAGTAAAGCGATGTTGTTTGTTTTTTTGTTTAATTCAGTGTTTCTTATGTTAATTTTTTCCCATTATTGGATCACTTTGCCGCTGTCCACCTGCTCTGCCTTGAGCAGGGGAACCGCTCCCTCGAGGAGCATGTTGAGGAATTCCTCGGTCTCGCCCATCAGACCACCTTCCCGGATGACTGCCTGTGCACGTTCCTGCACGCCGGCCTGAACACCGCAAAACAAGTGCAGTTGTCCGAGGAGGGTCCTCGAGGGAGCTTCGCCGCTAATGTGGAGTGGGTGCTAAGCTCCTGTGGATCTTCCTTCACCGTTGGCCTCGCAAATGAAGACGCCAGCCCCACTCCCAACCCGGCGCCCAGCCAATCACCACGTCGCTGAATGGAGCATCTGTCTGAGCCCACCACAGACGGAGAGCCAGAGCCCACCCCGACTGAAGATCCATCCCGTGAAGAAGCGACTGAGCATGCCATCGCCCTGGAGCCTGAGCCGATTGACGCGTCTGACCAGGTGTGTGAGCCGGCAACACCACACATGCCGGAGGGAATTCTCGTGGAATACAAGGGTATGGAAGTGAGTGCCGCCCACCCTCCCACCACTGAGAGTGAGTGTTAACTGGCCTGCCAGGAGTCTTCGTCTCCTGGACCTGAGGAGCCCGTGGCTCCACCTCGTCCTGCCGTCCAGACTCCTGAGCCTGTGCTCCGTCCGCTGCTCTCTGGCCCTCCACCCCTTCAGCTACAGCCTGCTCTGCCTCCTTCCTCAGTCGCTCCAGCTTGCCCTCTGGCCTCTGGATCCCCACCAACATCTCAGGCGATCGTCACTACGGCACTGTCGTGGCCACTTGGATCCTCTGCATCGCTCCACCTCTTCGGCTCTCTGTCTGCGCCACAGGCTCCACCTCCATCGTCGTCGCCTCCGGGTCATCCCCATGGCGGTGTGTGTGTTCCCATCATGCCTTGGCTCCTCCCTCCAGCGATGCTGCCATGGAGTGCAGTCCTGGCTGTGGCCTGGGTCTCCACCTACCCTCTCCTGCCCAAGGCTCCTCCCTGGTCATCTCCTCCACCTGCACCTCCCTGGATTTTGTTTGTCGTCCTCCTCCCAGTTGTCTGTCCTCCTCCCGAACCTCCTCCATCTCTCTGCCAGCGTGCCTTCCACAATGTCATTCACTTTGAACTTTGTTTTCCTCTTGCACCATTCCCCTTCATTTAATTAATTGTCATTTTGTTCAGGTGTGTGGAGTTAATTGTCCTTGTTTGGTCTGTGTATTTAAGTTCCTGTGTTC